GGCTTTCCTCTGTTCTTTATCCACCACCACAATGTCAGATGCAGCATCTTCAAGTGATCCAGGATGCAGCAGCTCGGCTTCATACAGGAACCATGAGGCGTGACCATATAAGGCCTGTTATCGGCCTCCTTACAGTGACTGCCTGTTACCTATCGAATAGATTTTAAGATTCTTTTAACAACTTACAAAGTTTAAAATGGGTTAGCTCCTCCTTATCTTCTCGATCTTTTGAAATTTCTGTCTGTGTCCAGAATTTTACGATCACATAATCAGATATTGAGCTTTCATGTTGCTGCTCCTAATCTCTGGAATAATCATATAATAATCTACCTTTCCAGATGAGCTCTTCCCACAGCCTGGATCACTTTAAATCGCTCATTTTAAATCTCATTTTCATTCTTTGGCATTCAGTTGAGGCCTGATACTGTAGCTCTTTTGTTTAGATTTTTTTTACCTATTACTTTTATTATTTTAACAATATATGTTTTTTTTTGTCTTTTCTTGTAATATTTCTCTTTTTTTCATCAACTTATTTTATTATCGTTCTTGTACAGCACTTTGGTGCAGTTTTACACCTGTTTTTAAAGTGCTATATAAGTAAATTTGACATTGTATTTATATTTGTCCTTAACTTGATCTTTCTTATCACAATAGTTCCACTTTACACCAAACTAACTTTTAACCACATAAAACAGTTTTTTTTTTCGATTAGCAGATGAATATGTAATCACTTCTATTGGTCAAATCATAGTCATGTTTATTTCAAGGCTGACTCAGAGCAGTATTTGCTTTTGCTTAATATTTTAAATGTTGTGGCACAGTTTGAGCCTTTTGATAACAAAATGTGTCACTTTGACCCGAAGTGCTGCTGTTCAGCTGTTCACAAATGCACCGAAGCAACCAAAAAAAATAGCAAAAGCAAAGAATCACGAGTGATGAAAAAGGTCTGTGTGTTTAATAAAAAGAGGATCACATCAGTTAATTTACCACAGGTTTCTTTTAAGCGTTTTACAAAAGTCAGAATTGCTTTCCTGTAGATTGGAAACCAAACTGTTTTTTCTTATATATATATATATATATATATATCAACCTGAAAACAAGGACAAGTCACTCTTTCTTTAGAAAATCATTTAATTTCATCAAGTTTACAATCAAGTCGATTGGACAGATCAGCGTCTGCCCTCTGATTGGACAGATCAGTGTCTGCCCTCTGATTGGTGGCTTCCTGTCCAGCAGGAAGTTGTGAACAGAGTTTAAAAACTGCTGCAGGACTGCAGACATCCCCAGGAAGCTGGACCAGCAATGAAGGTTCTGTTGCTGCTGCTGGTGCTGGGTGAGTCGGACACACTGGACACATTGGAGACGCTTCCACTGGTTCCAGGGAGGCTGCTGCTCTCTGTGACTCCCAAACTTCCCTCTGACTCTGTTTCAGACGGAAACTTCTTTGCGTAGAAACTGTGATGCTTTTTCATCTGAAACTTTTTATCCTTTTTCTGTTCCAGCAGCCATGTTTGCACCTGATTTCTGAGTAAACTCCTCCTTTTTCTTCTTCAGGAGTTTCAGTGAACTCAGACGTTTCTCGGCAGAAGAGAATCATTGAAGGTGATGACTGTGATGACGAGGAACGTCTTTATCATGTTCGCCTGTGGAACATAAAGGGTAAAGAAAAGTGGCGCTGTGGAGCATCTCTGATCCACCCTCAGTGGATCCTGACTGCAGCTCACTGCTGGAGGTCGGCGCCAGGATGGTAGGAAAGAGACATGAAGACAGTTTTATCTGCAGATGTTCAGGTTTTCTGTGTGTTCATTATAATCTAAACTTTTCCGCAGGACTCACGTAGCAAAGTTAAAAGTTCATCCGCGCAGTGCTGGCCAGCAGAGTCAGAAAATCTTTCACAATCCTGTGATTTATACTCGCCGCCGCAAGAAGCACGACATCATGTTGCTGAAGCTTCGGAGACCAGTGACAGACGTCCAACCTGCTCAGCTACCAGACTGCAGTTACCATCTTAAAATGTAAGTTTTTCACTGATCAATAACAGGACTTCAGGTTTTCTGTCCCCACTCCTCCAGTCCTGCTGCCTCTGCTTCAGCACACCTGAGTCAGGTAATCAGGCCACCAGCAGAACCAGAACCCGTTCAGCTCAGGTGTGTTGGACCAGAGGCGCATGTAATGGACGCAGGACACTGAGGACTGGAGGAGGAGATAGATTCAGTCCGTCGTGGATTTAATTTCTGTTCTTTAATACAATTCTTTTTCTATATTGCTGTCTTGTATTTTTACATTTTATTCTTATCGCGTTCTAGAGGCGATGTCGTTCAGCTGGCAGGAGAGGGAGGAACGATAATCGGCCCCAATTATCAGCGAAGTGAGAGAAATATTGGAGCCATGAGAAAAAAATCTTTGTTTCTGTCTCTACAGAGAAGGTCGAGTGAATAACATGTTTCTGATTCTCATGTTTCTCTGCAGTAACCAAAACTCCTCTTCCACCACATCTTCAGTGTGTTGACATGAATGTTGATGCTGTTTCCCACTTCATGCCGAAACGTGGGCATATATTCCGTGCTGCAGCACCGGACAAAGACGTATGTCATGTAAGTTCAATCTCTCTCTCTCCAGTGATTGGAAGACTTTTCTGTTTTACAACACAAATAAATATATTGATATACATTTTTCTACAGGGCGACTCTGGTGGAGCAGCGGTGTACAGCGGCATGATTTATGGTGTGATTTCTTTAACTGGAAAAGTTCCATGTCAGAAATCAGCTGTGATCATGGATGTGTGTAAATACATGAGTTGGATAAAAAGAACAACTGGGCTTAAATAAAATAAACTTATTATGAAATGAAATTCTCATCAAATTTCCTCTCAGATGTAATTTTATAGTTGCATCTTCATCAGTTTGTCCCACATTTTTGTAGAATAAGGGAAAAATTAATTTAGTTTTTTCTCACTTGACCTTGACCTCCCTAATGGAGCTTTCTCTGCCTCAGAAATGAAAAAATAATCAATAAATTAATGAAAAAGAAACATTTCCTGGCTGGACGTCTTTACATTCATGGCTCAGTTTGTTCAGTTGATATTTTCCCTGAATTGAGTCTAAAAATGTGACATGAGTTTTAAATCACATGAGGAGAAACACCACAAGTCATTTATTTATTCAGTTTTTGTTTTTATTTTACATCAGAAATGATGAACATGCAGTATCTAAACTCTGCAGCTCTGGAGTTACTCTTCCTGATTTTGTCCCAGAGAACTTCAAACTCCAACACGACCAAAGAGCTGATCACAGAAATAATGAAACAGAAGTCATAAAATACGACAATTATCAATAAAATACTAATAACTTAAAAATAAAACAAAAAACATCAACTTTTTAAAAAGATAGAAAAGAAATAAAAAAGTTCAATATTTAAAAGTCAAAATCTGGAATAAAGAGAAGTTTTAACACTCTAATGTGCAAGTGGGTCTTTTTTGGCCCGGTGAGGTCACTTTTCTGCACTTTTTCATCACTTCATATTCCAGGAATTCCTCAAAAACATGTTACTA